AAGGCGCGCTGCGCGAACACCACTCCGCTCTGTGCGCTCACGGACACGTAGGACAGCAGCGTTCTAGGCTCCAGGTCGCTGGCCACGATGGAGTAAGAGACCTGGCCATTGGGTCCCAGGTCAGGGTCGGAGGCGCTGACTTGCGCGATAGACACTCCAGATGGGTTGTTCTCTGCTACATATACCAAGTAGGACAACTGGTTGAAAACCGGAGCGTTGTCATTGACGTCAGCAATGTAAAGGGTGACGCTTTTGCTGGAGGAGAGGGGCGGTTTGCCCCTGTCGGTGGCAGTGATGGTAACATTGTACTCTGGAGTCAGCTCGTGGTCCAAGTTGCTGTCTGTTACCAACTTGTATGAATTTTTGGACGAAGAGATTATTTTAAAAGGAACTTTACCTTCTAGCTGACAATTAACCTCTCCATTTCCCCCAGAATCCTGGTCATGTATTTTGATCAAAGCAATTAGTGTTCCCGGTACTGTGTTTTCCAGAATCATTTCCAGAAGAGAATGAAATGTAATTTCTGGGCTGTTGTCATTTTCGTCTTGAATGCTAATATCAACTGTACATTGTGCAACCAGCCCTCCACCATCACGCCCTTCCACCACTAGAGAATATTCTTTAATTTCTTCGAAATCCAGTGTCTTTTGCAATATAATTTCTCCACTTTTTGAATTCAGACTAAAGACTTGCCCAGTTCTCTGAAAGGAGTAAGTAATTTCTGAGTTGACACCTTCATCCTGGTCAGTGGCTGACACCTGCAACACGCTGGTGCCCGGGGCCATGTTTTCTGGAACACTGACTCTGTAGACTTCCTGGCTGAATACAGGGGAATTATCATTGGCATCAGTGACCTGGATTCGGAGCTCAGTGGTACCACTAAGGGGTGGATTTCCACCATCTAAGGCAGTCAGGACTAAACGATGGTAACTCTGTTGTTCCCGGTCTAGGGTTTTGTCCAATACTAGTTCTGGGTATTTGCTACCATCTTGTTTCTCCTTATTTATCAGGGAGAAACTAGGGTTAGGAGACAGCTTATAATTCTGTAGGGAATTTAAGCCGATATCTGCATCTTCTGCTACTTCTAATATGAATCGTGTACCCGGCTGTGCGGACTCACTTATTTGCAGCTCAAAGGAAATATGCGTGAATTCTGGCGAGTGGTCATTAATGTCCTCGATCTCCACACTCACATGATAAAAGTTCAGTGGGTCTTCAGCCACAGCCTCCAATTCCAGGACGCATGCCGGCCTCTTCCCACATACCCGCTCCCTGTCTAGCCTACTGCTCACAAGCAGCTCCCCGCTCTCCGCGCTCACTGTGAAGTACGGTTTCTCCGAACCGATGCGCAGTTTCCGGGCCGGCAACTCCTGGACGCTGAACCCCAGGTCCTTGGCGAGATTCCCCACTACCGAGCCCGTGGGCATTTCCTCAGGCATCCTGTAGCGGATCTGCTCTGAGAGCGCCGGGCTGAACAAAGACAGCAGCAAGGGAAAGAGCACTGGCCGCCTCTCAGCCCTGCGCCTCTGCACAGCGCCGCTCCCCATCCCTCCTGCTCGCTCAGCCTGCTCACCAGCCTGGAGACGCGGGGTCACGCACAAGCGCTGTGTTGCAGATATTCGGAGTTCCGAATGGGCTTTAGCTCTCAGTCCCAGTCCGGGAAAAGTTCTTCTTTCTTGCAGTAGGAAGAGGTCTAAGGGCTCGCCCTGGCGAGTGTGAGAGGGCCGCCCTGGAAAGCGCGGTGCGGCTGCGCGAGAAGACCGCGAGCGCCAAGCTCTGGTCTTTGGCCAACAGCGGCGCCCAGAGTGCACGCTAGGAAACTGCAGCCTCTGCTTTCCAGTTTAACCAGTGGGATTAGGGTAAGTACAACCAACTAAAAGATGATGTATTTTTATGTTAATATGTTAAACAATAAACTGCAAAGCCACGTTTCAAGTATTTTTTTCCTCTTGATTTCCAATTGTTAGAAATAGCACGGTTTTAATAAAAGTCTACATATACTGGTATACTCTTTCACCATTCTACATACACTGAGCTCTTACCTATAGCTAAGTATTGCAAAATAAGACAGAGGTCTGGCCCCCAGAACCTCACAATCTGCTGATTTCACAAATTTGTTTTTTTATTAGCTGTGATATGTTGATATTTTAATTTTTTCTACTGGTTCCTGTGATTCTTACCCAAACATCTCTAATATTGTTTTATATCACGTATATTAGAGAACATCAATACTACTGAAAATTATTTTGTTATGTTATGCAATTTGTACCAATCCTCAGATATCTCCTCTTCCTGATAATGTCAACACTCTATAAAATTATTTCTCCATATTCTTCTAATTCAAGGAGTATTTATTCAAGAAAAGTGACTCTACGGTGAAGTTAAGATATGATATATCCTTCCAAGTCCCTCCTCTTCATACCTCAAAATTAACTGGCTATATCTTAGTCTTTATATTGCATCAATTCATTCTTAAAATTTACAGGGTAAATGATTACTCTCCAATACAAAACCACAAAAGGAATACTCCAATAGTCTATATTATTTCCCTATATATGAATATTACACTGAAATCATGATGGGAATTGAAGTAATTGAGGTATAGTAATTTGGGATGTAAATGTATGCAATAGGTAACTCAATATGTATGGTGGGTAACTGATTTTAATCGAATGAATGATAATAGAAATAAAATAATGGAAGGCTGAAAAAGGTTGAGCAAAAAAAGGGGGGTTTTGAACAATCTTGTCTAAGTCTTTTGAAAGCAAATGGAACAACCACCTATGGCTATTAGAGTTATATTGTATTGTGTCACCATTAAAATATACACAAATTATTTTCAACTGTTGCCACAACATGTATATCAAAACACGTGTATATCAACTTATATTGAACAAAATTTGTCTGAGAGATAAAAGCAAAGAATTGAACTCACCTGAGCACAAGCAGCTTCACCTTTCAATTCATGAACATCGACAGATGTTAATAAAGGATCATTTTTCTCACAGCTCTCTTGGCTAATGAGTGTGTCTGCATAGTTGGGCTGAGGAAAGATAAGATTGCTTGTTTGGGAACCTGCAGTGAGGGAGACCTCATGGGAATAGGTCTGCAGAAAAGCTTGTACCCCATCGATGCCCACAAAGTGTGAGGGAGGCACACCCACCAATCCACCTCCAGAGGCCTGGAGCAAGCGAGATTTCTGCCAGCCCTGAAGCCTGAGCAAAAGCAGCACAATGACAAAGGCGAGGAAGACACAGGAGACAACCGCCACCGCCACTACCAGGTGGAGCGTAAGTTCAGAATCATCTGGAATCCCAGGGGGTCTGATGTTGCTTAAGTCAGCCAATACTTCAGGGATGCTGTCAGCCACTGCCACAGTGAGTGTGAAGGTAGCTGAGAGAGGAGGCTGGCCATGGTCCTGGACAGCCACCACAAGGCTCTGCTTCAGAGTGTCTCTGTCTAGCAGGGTCCTTGCTGTGCGCACTTCACCTGTGTGCAGCCCCACAGAAAAAAGCCCTGGCTCACTGGCCTTAAGGAGGTGATAGGACAGCCAGGCATTCTGTCCTGAGTCCTTGTCCACTGCCACAACCTTGGTCACCAGGTAACCAGGCTCTGCAGATCGGGGAGCCAGCTCTACACCAGTAGACCCATCAGTGGGGAGAGCAGGATACAAGATCTCAGGGGTGTTGTCATTCTGATCCAGCACAAACAGGCTCAATGACACATTGCTGCTTAGTGGTGGGTCTCCACTGTCAGTGGCAATCACCAGTAGCTGCAAGTCTTGGATCTGCTCATAGTCAAAAGATTGCAATGCATACAGGACACCGGTGTCAGAGTTGATGGAGACATAGGAGGTCAGAGGCACTCCTTGGATGGTGTCCTCAGTTAGAGAGTAAGTGACTTGTGCATTTTCCTGGCTGTCAGGATCATGTGCAGTCAAAGAGAAGATGGAGGCACCTCTCAGGTTGTTCTCTGGGATATAGGCTGAGTAGGAGGCATGAGGGAAAGTAGGTGGGTTGTCATTGGTGTCCGCCACAATCAAGGAGATATAAGTTTCAGTAGACATAGGTGGGATTCCTTGATCTGAGGCTATCACTGTGATATTATAGACAGAGGCTTTTTCTCGGTCCAAATATTTTGATGTGACCAATCTATAATAATTATTTATTGATGATTCTAATTTAAAAGGTAAATCATCACGTGTGAAACAAACAACTTGTCCATTCTTCCCAGAGTCTCGGTCATGCACATTCAAGAAAGCAATTACTGTACCAGGAAAAGAATTTTCCAAAACTGGGTTAAACAGAGATGTAATGGTCACTTCAGGCCAGTTGTCATTTATGTCTTCCACCAAAATGAGCACTTTGGTCCTTCCCAAAAGTGCCCCTACATCTTCAGCTTGTATTTCCATTTCATAGAACGAACATTCTTCATAATCTAGACTTCTTGCCACTGTTATTTCTCCAGTGTTTTCATTAAGCTGGAACAAGGAAGACTGTTTTTCATTGATTTTCCGAAATTTGTACGTCACTTTTCCGTTGGCTCCCTCATCCGGGTCGCTGGCTCTTACTGTAAGCAGCAGGGTGCCCCAGGGCACGTTCTCAAGGACTTTCACTCTGTAAATCGGTTGAGCAAAAACCGGGGCATTGTCATTTGTATCCAACACGGTCACCTGGATGTGCACTGTGCTGGAGCGGCGCGGGTCGCCGCCATCCGAGGCGGTGAGGACCAGGTGGTGAATGGCCTCTTCCTCTCGGTCCAGGGTGCGCTCCAGTACCAGCTCTGGGTTGATGGTTCCATCATCTGCGGTTTGGAGGTCCAGAGAGAAGTGGTGACTGGGGCTCAGCTGGTAGCTCTGTAAGGAGTTCACGCCCACATCCGGGTCAACCGCTTCTGGGAGTGGATAGCGTGCTCCAGGAGAAGCGATTTCATTGATTTTTACTTCCACGTTTTCAACATGGAATTTTGGCTTATTGTCGTTGATATCAGTTATTTCTATTTCTATTCCGTAGAGTTTTCCTTTGTCTTCAAGGAGGATTTTAATGTTCACCAGACACCGCGCGCTGTGGGCGCACAGCTCCTCCCGGTCTATCCTGCCCGCGGTGACCAAGCTGCCGCTGAGCGGGTTCAGAGAGAAAAGCTGCGTCCTACCTCGGAAGACGATGCGGACTCCGCGCTCCGCCAGCTCCCGGGGCTCCAGCTCGAGATCCTTGGAGATGTTGCCCACGAAGGTGCCTCTGTCGGTCTCTTCTGGCACCGAGTATCGGATCTGTCCTGTCCCGATCTCCCACAGCGTCCCCAGCAGCGCGCACAGCAGGACCAGCTCACCGCGTCCCTGCTGATTCTTTGGAGCAGCCATTGTTCTTTCGCCACAGAATGCTTTCCGAATCCTCACTGGGCGAACGTCTCTTGTTTATGTGTTCGCTGCAATTGTGGAGATCACAATCTTATGAAAAGTTGGAGAGTCCTAAATTTAGGTACTGAATTTCTCTGCATCCCAGAAGTTGGTTGCTGGGATCTGCCGGTCGATGTGCTGTGTGAGCTCTTAGAACTGGATGGCCTTTTGCTTTCATTGCTCTCCCAGTAGGTGAACAGCGGCGCTTAGAGTCCTAAGCAGTTATTGCACTCAGATACAAATTACTTACATAATACCCCGCTAGATTAATGAGGAAAAAATACTACTAGCTTTGTATTACTTCATTTTGAATTGAATTTTTCCCTAGGTCCACATTTTAAAACAAATTACCATGGGGTGTGGGATAAAAAGGGGTGAAAGTTTTATAAAATATTATATGATCAGATTTTTGGGTTAGCATATTAAACTACTTACATTTCTGGGATACATTTGCTTCTCTTAAAGAAACATGATAATTATTTCCCATTGTGCCTTCATACTTGTTGCAAATGTCTTCAGGATATAATGATGTCAGTTTTAGACTAAAATAGAACTACTGACTTCATTGAATCATAAATTATTTTTATTTAAATTCATTAATAATTATAGTAGCTTACTGTAGAGTTTCTTTTAGATTTTACTTCTAAATATCTTTTAAATTACGCATTGGTAATGTTTCAAATTAACACTGTGACATTTTAACAGGACAAATGCTTTGAAAATTCAAGTTTTATCAAAAATTATATGGTCTTACTATTTAAAAAAATTATTTGTATTTTCCTAGCTGAATAGAAAGTACTCGACAAGATTAATAAATATACAAACAAAAGCAAATCTCCATCCTACCCCCTCTCATCAAAGAGAAATTATTACATTTTCAAGCACACTACTTTTTAAAGTAGATATATTCTAAAGTTTATTTTAGCTTCCTTAGTACTTTGATCAAAAGAACAACAAAAGGGCTGGGGATTTAGCTCAGTGGTTCCGCTGCCTGCCTTGAAAGCACAAGGTCCCAAGTTCAATCCCTGGTACAAAAAACAAAACAAAAACAAAACAAACAAAAAAACCAAAAATGGGCCGGGGATTTAGCTCAGTGGCACCGCACCTGCCTCCCAAGCTCAAGGTCATGAGTTTGATGCCCAGTACCAAAAAACAAAACAAAACAAAATAAAAGTAAGGAACACATAACTATCAACAATAAGTTGAACAATAGTGCCACTACAAAAGAACTCTTTTTCCTTCAATTTGTAAAGTGGCCATTAACTGAATCAGTTGCTAAACGATATCTAGGAGATAGCTGATAAAATGTACTATGATGTTTAGTATAGATTTAATGTGCACATCAGATTGACAATTTAATCTAAAAAAATTGAAGAATTCAAGACTTCTATTAGAGGAAGTACAATGATTAGATTTTAGATATAT